CACAAAAGAGCTATATCGATAAGGTACTTAAAAGGTTTGGCATGCAAGATTGTAGACCAGGTGACACCCTTGTTGCTAAAGGAGACAAGTTTAGTCTTAATCAGTGTCCTAAAGGTAACCTTGAAATTCAGGAAATGCAGAAGATTCCTTATGCTTCGGCTGTAGGAAGTCTAATGTATGCTCAGGTATGTACGCGTCCGGATATTGCGTACATTGTTGGGATGTTAGGCAGATACTTAAGCAACCCTGGTATGGATCATTGGATAGCAGTCAAAAGGGTTATGAGGTATCTTCAGAAAACAAAAGATTACATGCTCACATACAGAAAATCAGAGAAATTAGAGGTCATTGGGTATTCGGACTCTGATTTTGCTGGATGCCAAGATAGCAGGAAGTCTACATCAGGCTACATTTATATGTTAGCAGGAGGAGCTATATCATGGAAAAGTGTCAAACAAACACTAGTAGCTTCCTCCACTATGGCAGCAGAATTTGTAGCTTGCTATGAGGCATCCAATCAGGGAATATGGCTGCGAAATTTTGTCACGGGACTGCGCATTTTGGAAAATGTTGAAAGACCACTAAGGCTATATTGTGACAATAAATCTGCAGTAATGTATTCCAATAACAACAGGAGCTCAACTAAGTCAAAACATATTGACATTAAGTTCCTGGTTGTGAAAGAAAGGGTACAGAGTGGACAGATATCCATAGAGCACATTGGGACAAACTCCATGATAGCTGATCCTCTTACTAAGGGATTGCCACCTAAGGTCTTTCATGAGCATACTGCTCATATGGGTGTGGTATTATTTGAGGATATTATGTTTTAGTGGGAGTTTGTATTTGTGGTGCTTTATGTTTGTTTGTATTGTCTGATCAGAATAAAGTTTTCAGTTAAGACACTCTGTTATATTATGTTTGGTTTTGACCTCACTAAGGAGGACCAGTTGAAAATAGACATGTACTGATCACATTGCATGTAATTTTTATGCTGCACATCCATGATTGATCTATGTCGTTTGATTGTATTGGTATATGTGACCATTGATGGGTCGAATCACGATAAATGTGACGAAGGCCGCTTTGATCCTATATTGATATAGTCAATGGACGAGATTGTTCGGAAATACCATTTCAGTGATAGCAATTTTTGAGCTCATAAGGTTATACACAGTTTAAGGAATCATATGGTGCCCAAGTGGGAGATTGTTGGATTTAATCTAATAAATCTATTTGTGGGCACATATGATTAATCAATGTGTATTGCTATCTTTCAGGATAACCCACTAAAGTGATCAATTAAGTTGGGTTAATTTGGTATTTAAATAAGTCATGGGGTTATATGTGCAGATACCAGGTTGTAATTGTAATTTATTGAGGGGCTAAATTACAAAAGTACAACATCTATAAATAAGGGGTTATGGTCCCTAACCTAGGGTTACATTTTCTAATTCTCTACACCCCCATCTAGCTAGAGAAATTCGGATTTAGAGAAACCCTAAGGTTAGAAGATCCAAAACCCATCTCAAGGTTCATCCATGGATTCAGGTATAAGTTTCCGCTCTTTTGATTATTTGTTAATCTCTTTGAATTAATCATGGTTATATGGTTTTAGATCTCAAGTTTTATGATGTAGATCTAACACCCTGGCCCGAGATCTCGGGTGCTCTTCTTGCGATTTCTTGGCGACGTTTTTCTTCTCTTCCCTCTGCAATTTTTTCTTCTGTTGCAGCGCTCAAAGAGATTTTGAGGGGAGGAATTTATTAAGAAGGAATTTATTGAAGAGAGAATTTAAGAGGGGAATATTGAACAAAGGAGAATCTTCACTTCACTGTAGCTACAGTGAAGATTTGTAATTTTTGAGAGATCTCAAGTTTGAGATCTACTCTTGTATTGTAGTTTCTTGTTGATTAATAAGAAATTTATTGTGTGGTTCCCGAGGACGTAGGCAAGTTTGTCGAACCTCGTAAATCTTGGTGTACTTTTCTCTATATTGTATTTTTGATGTTTTAGGGGTTTCGGCATAAATTCCCAATAATAGAAGAAGGCCCATGGGGTTATTTGCTAAGGCCCCCCGAAGTTCGGGGGCTTTTATGAAATGAATCATTTTCCATAAATACTACGATAGACACTCACTGATACTCTTATGTTATGCGAACGTGTTAAGTTTTCACAATGCACTGAATGTTCACACGCGACACTTTAGCATCGATCTTAGTTTTAGTTTTGGGCTTGTTAAACTTCTTATTTGTTTGTTTGTTCGTTCGTTTCCGAGCAACAGGGGAAACTTGATTAGGGGATTCAGCGTTTCAACATGGAACCGTTGAGAAGAGAACAAAAAACCCCCCACTATCCTAGGAGACCCCGATGGGTAACTCTTTTTTTTTTTTTTCCCATTTCCGTCCTTTTCTGGACCAAGAAACATGTTTTCCTAATGCCCCTCAACTAAGTTTGATACGCAGAAATTGCAAATGCAGCTGCAATTGTAATTTACAAAATGCATGCGTAGCTACCGTTTTTTTTCAACTATAGTTACAAAAAGAAATCAACTGCTTGCAATCAAATTGCTGCAAATGGTTTTTTAGGAAAAGAGACAGATCGGTTATTTCAATGTAATTTTCAAAAAAGCAGCTGATATCACAACAAAGTAAACAGCTACAACTTTAATTTGTCATCAAAGAAAACTTTAATTGTCCTTTGCAAATTATTACGGTGAGCAGCTGATATCACAACAAAGTAAACAGCTACAACTTTAATTTGTCATCAAAGAAAACTTTAATTGTCCTTTGCAAATTATTACGCAGCTGATATCACAACAAAGTAAACAGCTACAACTTTAATTTGTCATCAAAGAAAACTTTAATTGTCCTTTGCAAATTATTACGGTGA